GTGCCCCCCCCCCCCCCCCCAGTAGCCTCTGTCCTCAGGGTTTAGCCAGCCCGGCACGTTGCGGGGGGCACCGGAACGTGCTAGGGAAGTCAGGCAGGTGCCCAGAAGCCCTTCCCTTGGGTCTCCACATACCCGACCGTTCCTGGGCCGGCTGGAAACTGCAAGTGTCGGGTTCCAGTGTGCACGTCCATCCCTGCAGCTTCACCACCCCCGAGGCCCCTAAGCCCCGGCCTCGGTGTGCGGACTGGGCCAGCGCCGTGGAGGAGGACGAGATGAGGACCAGGGTGAACAAAGAAATCGCAAGGTACGTGCTCAGGCCACTGGAGGGCCAGCGCGGGGTGCGGGGTTCGGTTAGAGCCGCGGCACTTAACGGGTGAGCAGCTGCTGGGAGCCGGTAGAAATGCAGATTCTCCGCCCCCCTCCCCCCCCGACTGTCGGGAGGGACTCCGGGTGGGGCCTCAGGTGACTCTGCTCACTGAGGGGTGAGGACCCTGTCTTAGTGGCTGTCCCCCGACCTCGGCTGGACTGCAGAGGGCCACCGTGATGTGCCCAGCCTGTCCCACCCAGCCCCAGGCAGGAGTCAGGCAACAGCTATGAATGGCCAGAGCTCAGAGAGGACCCCTGACTTGGGGCCTGAACCCCTTGCAGTTGCACCCCAAATGGTTGTACGTCCAGGTTCTCTCAAATTCAGCCATGTCCTCTTCCGGGACTCACGATGGTTCAGGTGGTGCCGCCGGAACCACTGCTTCTCCCTTGCTGACACGCTCACCGGTTCTGGGGGCCTCTCCTCTGCCGTCTGACCCACTGAACGCCGCAGAGTCAAACCAGCTCCTGGGGGGTTGAAGGAGGGCTGTGGCCCTGGTGCCAGCAGGGGCAGGGCTGGTGGGTTGTAGCTGCTCACAGGAAAGGCATTGGCCCCGGGGAGGGGTGTCGTCCATTCAGGGGGGCGTGAACGTGTGTGGGGTGTTGACAGGTGGGCCCAGGGTTCTGAGTGACTTGCTTTCTGTGTGGGTCTTGGGGTGTCAGCTGTGGCGTGAGGCTGGTTGACTTGGTCGGTGTGTCCTCTTGCTCTGCTCCCAGGCGCACAGCGCGCCCTCCCGCTGCCCTCACCGGGGACAGTCTGCGGCCCGTGCCGGCAGGGGTCCCCTCTGTTCCTCGGTGGCCTCACAAGCCTGTCTCAGAGCTGTCCTGCTCTGTTGGGGGCCACCCTGTGATGGCTGTGGCAATGCCCAGGCTGGCCCCGCTGGTGATGCAGCCCGCCTCACTCTGGGGGGCGGGCGCTGTGAGAGGTCCGCTTGCTGTGCTCCACGGAGGATGGCATGGCGCACACCAGCAGCCTGAGAATGACAAGGGTTTGTCATCCCTCCAGCCAGTCTTTCCAGGGCCCTGAGGGAACGGAGCCTGGGAAGTGGGAAGGGCGTCTCATTCCCGGGGTGCTGTGTGCTCAGTGCAGCTGTGGATACACGGGTGCCCGGGGTGGGTGATGCTCCGCTCCTGTGCCCGGGCTGCAGAGGGGTGAGAGCTTACCTGGTGGAAGGGGCAGGGACTGGGGACATTGCTTAGGCACTTGCAGGACCTGTAGCTCGAGGGGGTGGTTGGTTTCAGTGCCAGGCGGCACTGGGCCCCCCTCCCTCTCCCGGGATGGTCTGCAAAGCTGGGAGTCGGTGGGCGGGCGCTGTGATGGAGGGCGCTGCCTCGGGAGCCGGGGAGCAGGAGGGGCTGTTCGGCCTCTTCCCAAGTCCGAGAAGGCAGGCACCCAGGTCCCCCAGCAGGGAAGGTCGTGGCAGAGAGAAAACTTTTTATTTCAACCTCTTTCTCCAGGCCACAGGGTTTGGGGGTGTCCGTCTCTATGGTGCTTGGATCTCGCGACTTAGTCTGAAACGTCTGTTTGGCCTCCAGTTTGCGTTCCGGGCTGAGGCCTTGAGGCCGCAGATGCCTCTGGCAGCTGCAAGCACTTTCTCTCCGGTGGAGCCTTTGCCGGCCAAGGGCCCTGTGGACACTAATGACATCACTCTGGCCACACATCGCCATCAGCTTGCAGCCAGCCTCTCTGTGTTCACTAACTCACCCCTGTTGCCTGGGCAGGGCCAGACCAGGTGGTTCACGGATCTTATGCAGCCTGTGGGCCACACATTTGCCAGTCCTGACTTGTATGATCTGACATGATTTATCATAACCTTTATCTTATAGGAAGGGGGGGAACGGGGGGGGGGGCAATGATGAACGACACCTGCTCTAACCCGGCTCCACCACTGACCGCACCCCTCGGGGGCGGAGTCCTATGTCGCTCTGAAAGCTTTAGGGGTTAGGTTAATTTTTAGGCCTTTTTAAAACAGCAGCGTTTATTCTGCTCCCAGATATAAAAGAAAACTCCTCATCAATGATTTCGGGAGAGAGAGGAAGTCACCATTGGGAAGGTAAGCGCCCTTCGTGTTTCTTTCCTGAGCTGACCTGGCGTTGGCTGCGAAGAAGAGAGCGAGCAGGCGGGCTGCCGTGTTGGGCATTCCCCGAGCAGCCGTCTTCCCCGCGAGCTGGGACGGGGGCGTGGTGTCTGATGTGCTCGCTCCCGTGGGGACAGAGGCCCTGGGGCACATGGGGGTTGGGAGCCCGAGGCCAAAGGCCTCCGCCCATGCGCGGTCTGCGCGGTGAGGGGAGTGGCGAGGCTTGTTCTGGGCTAGCGTCCTTTCCTCCAGCAGTGACTCAAAGGCGCCGTGCACGGTGCCCGCCGATCTGGAGACGGACGAGAGCGTCCTGATGCGGAGGCAGAAGCAGATCAACTACGGGAAGAACACCATGGCCTACGACCGCTACATCAGAGAGGTCCCGAGGTAGGCAGCGGGCGTGGGCCGGTCACGCGGGCAGTGCAGGCCACGGAGATGCGCAGGTAGCAGATTTGGTTCCTGTAAACAAAGCAGGGGCTGGTGCCCACAGAGAGAAGGTTTAAAACCACGCGTTGGCCATCAGAATGTGGTGAACATCTCAGTTCCCCAGACCCACAGCAGTCTCAGGACGCAGTCGTTAAGGACGGTGGGGACGGGAAGCTCACACTAAAGGTTTTCCTGAACTGCAGAGCAGTGCTGTGGGGACGGGCAGCCCACTCCCTCTCCCGTGGACATGCTCTGGACAGGGTGCCCCGCAGGACCAGGACTCGGGCGCACTTCGGGGCTTGGGTTGGGGAGGCACGGCAGAGGCGGAGGTGGTACAGCCGCTCCTGTGTGCCTGTGGCAGATCAGTGGGTCTGTAGTTCACAGCAGCCCTAACCTTAGAGTCGGGGTAACCGGAGGGCTGTGCCAGCGTGAGTGCCAGGACCCTGTCCCTCCCCGCAGGCACCTTCGCCAGCCCGGTATTCACCCCAAGACCCCCAACAAGTTCAAGAAGTACAGCCGGCGCTCCTGGGACCAGCAGATCAAACTCTGGAAGGTGGCCCTGCATTTCTGGGATCCTCCAACCGAAGAAGGCTGTGATTTTCAAGAAATGTAGGTGCATTGCCTTCTTGTCCCCCATTGCCGCTCGCTCGTGCCCTGACTGGAGTAGCTTTCACCTGTGAGGCAGGAGGTCGTCGTGGTAGCCAGCTGTCCGCCTTCACGTCCACTTCCATCCACACAGCTTAAAGCGGGGGGGGGGCGGGCCTCTGGGGGTGGAGTCTGCTTCCTGGATTGAATTTACATTTTGTAGCTAGAAAAACAGAGTTTAGAAAACCCGAAAATATGGGGGTTTTCATTTGTTTTTAGGATAAACATCCTAAAAATTATTTGGGTAATTTATTTCAAACTATGAAAGTAGGTCTTTTTTTTTTTTTTTTTTTAACTCAGAAAGGTTTTCCCTTTTCCCGGTTGGTTTTAAGCTTGTGCTTCGTCAGGGCTCAGGCCCGGCCGGGGCCCGGCTGCGCTGAGGCAGTGGAGGGGCCTGCGCTGCCCCCTCCGGCAGGTCCTCGATGGCCGCAGGTGCTGGGGGCTCGCTAGGAGCTGCCGTGCGGGAGGTGGTTTCTGGCGAGCTTGACGTTCGGCCTCACAGACGTCACAGGTCTTTCCTGGCGACACTGTTGTCCCGTCTCTACGAGTACAAAGCTAGCGACGAGGCAGCCTCGGGTCTGCCAGGTGTTCGCTGCCCCGCCCCCGATCGGGCTCCTTCGTGCTCGGGGTGTGCCCAGCTCCGCCGGGGCCGCACCTCTGATGGGTCAGCGCCACGTGGGTCCCTGACAGCAGTGCTCAGGGCGGCGAGGCAGCGATGGCCTCTGGTTTCAGCGAACAGACTGGAGGACGTCCCTGCGTCTCGGCCTCCTGGCTTTGCTAAGCGGTGGCTGATGCTGTTTGATTCCACAGACATCCCGTGGACCTCGGGGAAATGGAGACGGAATCCACAGAAAGCAGCTCCGAGTCCCAGGCCAGCTCCCAGGATAACAGCTTCGTAAGTAGCTTTCCTCGTGTGTCTCGGGGTGGCTCGTTGACCATAGGTGGCCCTTTGTAAACTGAGGTTCGGTTGTGCTGTCTGGAGAGGGGCGCCTCACCTCCCCTTTCTCTGACGACCGGCAGACGATCTGACGGCGTTCCTAGGTAATGGCCGCAATTTGGGTTTTTGGTTCCGTCTGACTAATCCTGTTTCCATCGGAAGGTGACTAGGCCTGTTCCCTCTGGTCTGGCTTCGGCACAGCCGGCTGCCCGCGCTCATGTGGCTGAGAGTGTGGGTGTGGACGGCTGACTGTCCCTGCGGCAGGGCCGGTGCCTGGGCATTTCCCCACGTTTGCTAGTTTTAAAAAATCCCACGTTTTTGAAAAAGGAAAATTCCAAGATGAAAAGAAACTTCCAGTATCCGATTCTGTGGTTACCGGTTGGGTGCATGTTCTTGCTGACTTTTTTTTTAATTGATTTTAGAGAGAGAGGAAGGGAGAGAAAGAAGAACAGCAATTTTTTTGTTTCTCTTCTGGTTTTGTTGGTTGATTCTTGAATGTGTCTTGACTGGGGATCAAACCTGCAACCTTAGTGTATCAGGACAACGCTCCAACCAACTGAGCCGCCCGGCCAGGGCTCATGCACACGTCCTGCCTGGGCCCAGCAAACCCTGCCCGCTGCCCAGTGACAGTCCCCTCTGTCACCTCCGGAACACCCGGCCGAGTGAGTGTGAGAAGAGGGGGACACCAGGACACACAGGTGTGTGGTGTGGAACGGGCGTGCTTCCCCTGAGGTCACCCTGTCCTCGGCCGGCCCGTTCCAAGGCCTGTGCACTAGGGTTGCCCTTCCTGCCTCCTTCCCTGTCACCCCTGCAAGCGGGTCCCTGCCCTCCCGGTTCCATGGCCACGGGCACCACACGCTCTCTGAGGCTAGAGGTGGCACCAGGGCCCAGGAGTAGAGGAAGGGCCCAGGATCCCACCATGAGGAATCCCGCTGTTAGAGGTGGTTTCTGAAGCTTAGACGTGGGGATTGTCCAGGGAGAGAAACACGGCCGGTCAGGCAGGGCGCCCCAGAGGGCAGAGGTCTCGCAGGCGGTGTCCTTCCTCGGGAGGCTGCAGAGCAGCCCCGTCCCAGGTCAGGTTCTGGACGGGCTGTGAACTTCCGCTGACAGTCTCAGAACGGAGTGGGGCGCAGGCCTGGGGACCAGGGAGGGAAGAGGCAGGTGCATGCGGGAGTTGGCCGGGGAGACGAGAGCAGGGGTCCTGGCGGAGATGGGGCACCAGGGAGGGGTGGCTCTGAGGCGGTGGACTTAGTGTGATGAGCAACGGGACCGCCTGCCTGTGGCTGCAGGGCGGGGCTTTGCCGCTGGGCACGGCATCTACAGCCCGGACTGCTCAGGACACGTGCCCGCGGCCCTGCCGCCTGATCCAGGCTGTGTGCAGGCCTCTCGGCTGCCCCAGTGCCCCTCTCACTGCAGGTCTTTCTTTTCTGATTCAGAATTTCATCAAGGGGACACGTGTGCAGGCCACGTTGAAACCTCACCTGCCTGTCCACCTGTGGCGTTGACTTTTTTAAAAACATGCATTTAAAATTTTGGGTTTAGTTGGAATAAACATTAGGCTTCAAACGGTTTAAACCCCCTAAATTGTAAACTCTTAACAATTTTAATTCATATGAACACACGACCTTTCAATTATACTTTTTTTTTTAAAGGGAAGTTTTTTAAAAATATATTTTCAGAGAGGAAGGGAGAGGGAGAGAGAAATAGAAACATTGATGATGAGAGAGAATCATTGATCAGCTGCCTCCTGCATGCCCCCACCAGGTAGGGATCCTGGTGCCCTCACTGGAAATTGAACCGTGTGCCCTCACTGGAAATTGAACCGTGACTTCCTGGTTCATAGGTCGTTGCCCAACCACTGAGCCACGCTGGCCGGGCCAATTAAACTTTTTTTAATTTTTATCCTCATCCGAGGGTATTTTTTCCATTGACTTCTAGAGTGAGTGGGAGGGAGAGAAACATGCACACGAGAGAGACATCAGTTGGGTGCTCCCGCACATGCCCCTGTGGGGCCGGGGGACCGCCGCCGAGGCCCTTCATCAGGAAGCGACCTGCAGTCTGCAGGCAGACGCTCCAGCCACTGGTCCGCACCAGCCAGGGCCAATTAACGTTTTAAAATGAAAAACAAAAAAGCAAAACCTCATTATGCAACCAGAACTATATCAAACGCAGCACTCACTCCTGTGCAGGGAGCCAGTGCTCAGTGCTGTCGAGCCTCCGTTCCCTCTGTGCTGTGAGGAGCGCGCACGCTCACTCCTGACCTACACAGCCTGCCGAGTGCACCGGAGTGGGAGGTGGCCCTGCCTGCGGGGCGAGCGGGGCTGGGGCAGGGGCTGGAGCGCAGGCAGCTCTCCCTGAGCTCTGAGTTTGCGCAGTGTCTGGTGTGACCCTGTGCGAGGTGGTGAGGGCAGGTGGCTTCTGGTGCCCACACAGCTCCCCCCCCGCTCGAGGTGCGTGGCTGTGCTCAGTGGGGTGAGCTCACCCGTCGCCAGTCCCGTGGGAGGACCCGGCGTGACACGTGCTTCTATCTCCCAGGACATGTACTTGGGCACCCCCACCAAGGTGCCACACCTGGACTGCCACGTGGAGGACGAGTTTGACTTGGAAGCGTGTTTAACTGAGCCCTCGAAAGACTTCTCGGCCATGAGCTAACCTGCCCGCAGACCGCAGAGCCAGGGCCTCTGCCCGGCCGGTGAGGCCAGCCGAGCACGTGTCGCCCGTTTGCCACGGGGGCTCCTGTTAATAGTTATCACCTGGTGAATTGTTATTCTTGCCTTATTTTTTAAACAATTTTATGTATAGTGAGTGTGTATTTTGCGTGTTTTAAATTGTAAATGCAATTAAGCCCAGTGACAATTGAACTGGAAGCAATCTTATGATAGACTTAATTGCTTGGTCCCCACCATCCCCCAGTTCACCCGACAAGCACACTGGAACCGGCTTCCACCGCATTTCAGATGCTAGGCTGCCGCTGGTAGGTGGTGGTGTGGGTTTCACTGTGTTCAGGGACCGGTCTCGTGTCAGCTTCCTGGACTGGTATCTGAGTGTTCTCACCTTCGGGCCCTTTAATGTCATTATGGAAACTTCGTTTTTGGCCTTTTGTCAGTATGTCAGGGTGGCTTTTCCTGCACACAGAGCACTGACCAGTCAGATACTAAAGTCGTAGGTTACTAAGTCCCGTCGTCCAAGTTGGGTCTTTGTAAATAGTGCCAGGTGGGCCTCTCCCAATAATACTCCAGGAGTTACGGCAGCTGAGGGACTTAGAAAGAGCATTTCACAGTCCATTCACCATGTAAAATTGCTGTAAATGATAATGTATACAGACTTCCTGTTCAAACATTTAATTGTGAACTTCTTGTTAAGACTGTTAAGTTTTATTGCTTTTGTATGGAATGAGATTGCAAAAATAAAAGAGCCTTTAACTGATTGATTGCGTTGCCAGATCGGCTAACTGCTGAGGCGGCTCCTGGGTTTGGAGGGTCTCTGTGCTCTGTCCTCAGTGCGTGGCCTGGGGGACAGCACGGTGGGGGGGGGGTGGACAGGGTTGTGGCCCAGGCTGTTACATCCCCCCGCCCCCAGGAGGACTACATCTGTGCTGGGTTTAGAGCTGGAGCCAGAGCAGACGCATCCATGTGAGCCAGCGTTCCCCGTGGCGGCCCTGCCCCCCCAGACAGCTGCGTAGTCGTCCCGGGGCAGAGCGAGTCCTGGGGGGCTGCCCGCCGCTGCCGCCCTCAACGCCCGGGGACCCGGGGCGGGATGCTGCACTCGCTCCCAGGTGGGCTCTGCCCCAGCGTCTAGGAGGGCAGTGCCGCCCATTCCACACTGGCCGCGCCTGGGCTGTCGTGCACCCACAGGAGGCGTGGGGGACGTGCGGGAAACGGTGCCCCCACGTCTGCTCTCCTTGACGGGCTCAGAGATAGTAAACGTGTCAGGTTAAAGGGTGAGGGAGTGGAGGGCGGGGTGAGGGTGACTGGGTGGTGGGACGGTGCCATGTCACAGGGGGGTCGGGAGCTGCCTGATGGCCTTTCAGCAGGGACCGCGGTTGGGGACGGTGCAGGCTGCCAGCAGCTCATCAGGAGTGAGCCCGGCGGGGCGGGGGGCGGGCAGAGAGCCAGCAGGTGTCTGCCAGCGTGGTGCTGGCGAATGGGCAGTGACAGGGCTGGGGCCCAGGGGACCCAGTCCGCTCTGAAGGCACCGCTGGCCGCCGGCCTCTCACCTATGGGAGAGGCTGATGGGCGTGGCCTGGGTGGTCTTGTTCGGCTCCGCCTTTCCAGGCAGCAGATGAGGCTGACGCTTCAGAAAGCCGCTGGGCCGAGCTGGGCCGAGCTGGGAGCCTGACCAGGGAGACGTGGTCTGTGGCCGAGGTTCTGGCTGGATGAAGCTTCCAGGCAACCCGAGACCTGGGCCCCACTCCCCCCGCCCTTGGCAGGAGCCCGGACGGAGACCTGGGCCCCAGCAGGAGCCTGGGGCAGAGAGGGCTTGTTTTGAGGAGACGAATCTGTGTGGCTTTTGTCAAAGGATCCCCAGTAAGATCCACAGGCTGGGAAGCGTTTGGAAGAATTCCATTGGCGAAAACCCGACGGTGTGGACCGAAGGCCCGGCAGGATGAAATGAGGGATGGGGTCCCGCGGACCGAGAGGAAAAGGCCCGAGGGCAGGGCCGGGCACAGGGTCCCCGCCTGACCCCCGCCTCCGACAGGTGCTGCTGTGGCCCCTCCCCACCCGCAGCTCCAGCAGGAGTGTCTGCACGAGGTCCCTCGCCTGCTGGGTGTGTGCGGAGTGTGTGTGGGGTGGGGCCAGGGCAGACACCGCCCCTCTGGTTCTGACCCAGGGGAGCCCATCTCAGCCTGAGGATCTGGACTTGGGGCCGAGGCTGTCGGAGGGAGACGGGGAGGCCTGGGGAGGAGGGACTGATTGTGGGGGGCGGGGGGAGATGTGGGCCTCAAACCAGGGCAGAGGCTGGGCTGGCGGGAGCAGGGGGTGTCTGGTCAGCGCCCGGGCTGCCGTGTGTGTGTGTGCGTGCGTGTGTGCGTGCGTGTGTGTGTGTGTGTGCGCGCGCGCGTGTGTGTGTGTGTGTGTGTGTGTGTACACGTGTGGACTCAGGCTCCCTCCGAGTGAGTGGGCAGCTGGGCGGTCTTGAGCAGGGACATGATGTGTGACGGGGGTTCTGGAAGAATCTGCCCTGGCTCCTGGCTTTTGCTTCGCATTTAAATTCTTGGGATGCTCTGAAGCCCAAGGAAATCAATCTCCAGGCCTTTGTGCCCGCCTTTCATGCTGTTCACATAATCTAGGCCTTTCCGCGGGAGGCACAGATACCGGCACCTGCGATCGAGTTGTCTTTCTTCTTGACTCTTGTACATCGAACCGAGAAGTGTCAGAACTGAATTAAGTTTGTCCGGTGTGATTAATTCTCCACAATCCCAGGCTGATCGCTATCTCGGCCCTTGGTGACTCATTTTCCTATCTTCCCGTGTCTAGATGGACGTGGTCAGCTTATCAGGGTTGTCATCCCACACCCCCCACTTCCCCTTCTCACGCTCTGAAGCCATTGTTTCCTGCTCCCAGTTGGGTTCTGTCCTCCAGCTGCTCTCCCTCAGCCCCTTGCCCCCAGGTCCCCACTCCCTGTCCCTCCCTGTCCCTCCCTGTCCCTGTGGTGGACGGTGTCCAGCCTCCCAGGTGAGTCAGCAGCCACTGCTCTCGGCTTTCTGGACCTGAGCCGGTGGCTCTCCTGAGGATGCAGTTTACGGGTTTTTCTTCCACGAGGGCAACTCGGAAAGGCCTGCTGGGTGGTCACGGTACCGTGCTTGGCCAACGGCCAGTGCCTGCGAGTGAACGTGTGCGCTGTCTTCCCCGAACCGGGTTTGGCTTTGTGTGTGTGTGCGCGCGCGCGCGCGCGCGCGTGGGGGGGGTGGGAGTGGATCTTCGGATCATTAGGGTGCGTATGGATTTTATGTTTAAGAATCTCGAGGGGTATTTGTTCCTTTGCTGTCCTTGCTGTTTCGTTTGCTTTTTCATGTGCAGGCTCTATTTTATTTATTTAATTTTAATATATTTTATTAAATTTCTACAGAGAGGAAGGGAGAGGGATAGAGAGTTAGAAACATCGATGAGAGAGAAACATTGATCAGCTGCCTCCTGCACGCCCCCTACTGGGGATGTGCCCGCAACCAAGGTACATGCCCTTGACGGGGATCAAACCTGGGACCCTTCAGTCCACAGGCCGATGCTCTATCCACCGAGCCAAACCGGTTAAGGCACATGTGCAGGTTTTAATTGGATGTAAGCCGCTTTGTAAAACTCACACTGCAAAGATGCCTACAGCCGGCCAGCATGGCTCAGAGGTTGAGCGTTGACCTATGAACCAAGAGGTCAGGGTTCTATTCCAGGTCAGGGCACATGCCCAGGTTGCAGGCTTCATCCCCAGTAGGGGGCATACTGGAGGCAGCTGATCAATGATTCTCATCGTTGATGTTTCTATCTCTCTTTCTCTCCCTTCCTCTCTAAAATCAATTTAAAAAAATAAAGATTTCAAAGTATACTTACTCCCTCTAGAACAGCACTTCTCTACCTATGGGTTGCAACCCCTTTGGGGGTCAAACAACCCTTTCAGGGGTCGCCTAAGACCATCGGAAAACATATATAATTACATATTGTTTTTAAGCAGGCTCCATGGAGAGGAGCTATGGGACCGAGGCCCTAAGGGGGCCTGCAGCGACCAGGTTATATATAAAGCGTAAGGCTCTGGCGCTTGTGGAAGATCCATGGGATTTGGCGAGGCAGAGGTCTTAGGCTTGACACCAAAAGCACAATCCATAAAAGGAGAAACTGAGGCTGGACCTTGTGAAGCGGAAAGCCTTCTGCTCCGTGAAGACCCTGGAGAGGGTGAAGACAGGCTGCTGAAGAGGAGGAGGTCCGTGCAGGGCGCGTGTGGGACGAGGGCTGGCACCCGGAACCGATTCAGAACTCAGAACTCAACGGGAGAGCACAAACCCCGTTAGAACATGAGCAGAGAGGTTTGTGCGGTTGGGTGAGAACCGCCTTCCTGTCCACAGAGGAGGCCGTTGTGGACGAAAAGGGGCCTCGCGCTAACCTGACGGGCTCACGGGGGGGCCCTGTGGTGAGACCCGAAGTAACCCCAGAGGATGGTGTGAAGTTAACACTGTCGAGCGGGTTATGGCAGGTAGTCTTGTTCGAGGCTAGAATCTTCCCTGACGGAAGTCAATCTTGACTGTAACTGAGCCTGTCTATTGCCTTTTGCATCTAAGGTAACATCCCTTTGGAATGTCGGGGTGACCCCCTGTGCCAGACCCCTCAGGGCACAGCCAGTGCTCCAGGGCTGAGACCATAAATCCTCTCCTTGTTGTTATCATGTTAACTGTTGACTGTGGACTACCCTGCACCCCGCTACCCACGGAAGTGAAAGGTGCCTATCATTTTACTTTCCATCCAGTCCGAGTTCCCCCCTTTGCTTTCTCCCACGTCCCTAACCTGTCCTGAGACCCCTCAGTCGGAGGGTGGACACTCCAACCACCCGCCCCAACCACCGGCCGAGCCAAACCATCCGGGGCTGCGCCTCTCTTCTGATGTGATGTACAGGCAGTCCTCCGGTTACGTCGGACTCGATGGACATCCTTTCGTGGTTACGTCGCCATCTCCCATTTATTTATATAAAAAAAAAGTTCCGTCATTTTGACGTCTGTACACATGTGCTTTATGCTTTTTATTATTTATTTGCCACAAGGTCAGGAATTGTTCTCTTTTAGGTTTTTTTTACCGTTTTCCTTCACTACTGCTGTGTCTGTGCTCCACGTGAGTGACGTGGGTGCTTATGTAGGTGGGTTCCATACGCAAAAATTGCGTTACGTCGCCGTGGGAATGGATCTTCCACGTCACCCGAGGACCTACTGTTTACAATAAGGTGCAAAGCCGCCATTCGCTGGAGTGCTGTCTCCATACAGGGAGATCCGGCCTCCTGCTCCGGCAGTTGTCCATAGTTTGGCTCAGACAGACTCACAGAAACCCTTCCCAGGTGGGACTGTTTCTTAGGTCGACAGGTCTCCAATGTATTCAGCTACCCCTTCAGTAACGTCTGCTCAGTGCGGGGCAGACATGAGCAGAGCCAGGGCGACGGCCAGGTACAGAGATCACCAGGGGCTGCCCGGGTGTCTAGCCAAGGACAACAGTAGGGGGGGCCTCCCCCCCAAGGGTGCCTTTCCTCCCCGCCCCAGCTGTAGGCTGTACCGTCACCTTCCTCACTCCCAAGCTCCAAGCGCCCTTCCTTTGGCGCCATAACTTGTTCCCTAAGCTGTTTTTTCTAGGAATTCCCTTTTCTCCCTCTGCCATTTACCCAACAAATGTCCTCTTACAGTTTAGCTCTTGGTTCCGAATTGTTTCCCAGCCAGAACCCAAGTGCCGAGGTTGCTGACCC